GCCGCCTGATCTCCGCGGCGCCCACTCCAGCTGCCACCTCCTCCCCCGAGAGGGCTGCGCGGGCGGGAAGACGCCCAGACGCCAGCTTCGGTCCCCCTTCAGTCTCTCGGTTCCTCTTTCCTCCCAAGTAAGGGAATAAGCCGCGAGGAAAGAGCGCCCCGGGCCACCGCGCAACCAAGTGTTGCATGGTGAGGTAAGACCACGGCCGGTGCGGCGCAGGGGGTCTCCCGCTCTCGGGGCGCGGGCAGCAGGAACTTGGAAAAGGAGGGCAAAACGGGAGCCAGTCCTGCGGCCGGGGAAGGGGCTGCAGACAAGGCCACTGCGCCCACCCGACAGTGCCACCTGCCGCAAAGCCCTGCAGGAAGGGATGCCCCACTAGAGGGGTGCGGGCACGGGAAGGGCACGGGGTGGGGCGCCGGCTCCTTCGGCGGTTGTGAGACCTCTCTCCCCCCAAGCCCCAAAGCTGTGCGAGCGAGAGGTAGCCTTGCTCCAGGCAGTTTGCTGAAGCAACTGGTCGGATTTCTCCCTTGTGGACTTGCCTCCCGCCTGACTGTCCAGTTCGCGCTCCAGGTTGCACACCGGCGGCGGGGAGCAGGGAACGCTTTTCCTAATGTCTGGGCGCCACGGCCCTTGGCAGTCCAGCCGGGTTCTAGGACTTTAGGGCACTCCACAAAGCCCGCGGGCAGGGGACTCAAAGGAAAGCTGGAGAGCACGGACACCTTGGCGAATTAAGGCGGGGAGGGTCAGGACGAGGATCTAAGGCCGACCTGTTTGGTCTCGGAGTCACAGGATGTGTCCGTGTGTGTTTGTATCTTGAGGTGTGCGCATCCCGAATCACCTGTGCGGCTTCCGCAAACTCCACCTGTCCCGCACCCTGAGATTATCTTCCTCTGAACGAGAGGAACAGAATGTGGGGAGTGGGCTGTGGACTTCTAGAAAGCCCTACAGGTGATTCAGAGGCTCTGCCCTCATTCCCACCACCACTGCAATGGGAAGCGTGGGCCGAGAGCGAGAAGACAGCTCTCGACGTGAGCCATCCAGCCGCGGAACTCGAGGTGGCTGTCGAGACCCCTCCCCAGTGGCCCCCGCGGCAGGAGGGTCTGCTGCGGCGCCAGGTGATTTGTGCTGCGCCGCAGTGGTGCGCGGGAGCGCTGCGAACCCGTGGGCGCGCTCTCGGGGCGCTGAGCTGCGGTCTCCCAGGCTCCATTAACATACGATGACCTCGCGGGGGAGGGGGGGTATCGGGGGGGGGCTGGAAAGGTTGTTTGTCATTCCTTTATTTTGGGGGAACGCACCTCGAATCTGGGTGTCATGATAAGGAACAGCTGTCAGGACCTGGGGCTGGAAACTGCCCCTCTGGTCTGGGGGGGACGGGGGAGCAACTTTGGTTTCGGTGTTAGAAATTGATTCTTTGTCGATGAGATACAGCTCAAGGAGCCACTTGCCGGAACATAGGCAGCTTGTCAGTGAAGGACGTGAGGTCATAGGGGATAAATGTCAAGTTTTGGTCACAGATGTACCCAAGAACACACATCCCTTTGTGTTATATGTTCCTCTCGTTCCAGGCAGGTGTCCTACCGTGGGAAGGTGCTTTGCCGTTTGTCATGTTTAAAAGGCTATCATTGCCAGAGCACTCCAAATAAAAATTATGCTCAGTAAATAAAGTGGCTGCAACTGAGCTAACTTCCTGTTACACTCCTGATCTAAGTCCTTTCTGCCGATCACCCTTATTATTGATGCCCAGCACTCTAGGCACGATTTCAGGTATTTTTCTGAGAAGGGTCTGGGGCTGGGAAGCTAGTAGATGAGTCTTTTCCACCTTAGAATCTTATGTAGTGTTTGGTTTGGACCAACCTAGACATGGGGAGAAGACGGCAAACATCAGAGTGTTTTGGAATCTAGACTCTCAGAGATAGGCGTAACTCCTAAGATGGTCTGGTCCAGCTTCTGCCTCCCCGACTCAATTCCCCTCACAACATCATCAACAGATGGCAAAGACCCCTCCAACCCTGAGGGTCAGGGTCTGCATGTGTGAGGCTCTTCTGGCCAAATAACCCAGAAGGCAGCCGCCCTTCCCTCTCCTGATGATGAGGGTAGGGGGACGTGATTGCTCCCTCCTCCCCTGGAAGGGAAGGGGAAGAAGGCAAGGGAAGTATCATTTCCTTGAAGCAAAACTCTTTTCAAAAATATCTTATTGTATTATATCACTATGACATGATCTTTTAGAATAAAAGTAATTTTAGTATAAAAATTGGACAGGCGCGGTGGCTCAGCCTGTAATCCCAGCATTTTGGGAGGCTGAGGCAAGAGAATTGTCTGAGCCTTGGGGTTTGAGGCCAGCCTGGATGACTTGATGAAATTTCATCTCTACGATAACTCACGAAAACTATCCGGGCATGGTGGCATGTGTCTATAGTTCCAGCTATTGGACCCCAACAGATGGCAAGGATCCCTCCAACCCTGAGGGTCAGGCTGTGCATGTGTGAGGCTCTTCTGGCCAAATAACCCAGAAGGCAGCCGGGGTGGAAGAATTGCCTAAGCCCAGCAGGTAGAGGCTGCAGTGGCCATGAGCATGCCACTGCACTTCAGCCTGGCAACAAGAACGAGACTCCAACTCAAAAAAAAAAAGTATAAAAATTTGGAAATTTGAAAAGTACACAAAGAATCAAGTAAACAACCCATAATTCTACCACCTAGATCCCACACTACTAATATATTGGCATATTTCCTTCCCATCTATTATTATGCCTTGAAATCATACAATCCATAGAAAGTCGGTGTTTATTGGTTACTTATTAAAGGTACTTTGTATGGTATTAGGTATTGTATATTCATTATGTCATCTAATTCTCAGAAGTCCCTCTTCGGTAGGTATTACTGTTATCAACCTCTTTTTTTTTTGAGTTGGAGTCTCACTCTGTCACCCGACTGGAGTGCAGTGGCACGCTCCCGGCCACCGCAGCCTCGACCTGCTGGGCTCCGGCGATCCTTCCACCTCAGCCTTCCAAGTAGCTGGGACTATAGGCGCATGCTACCATGCCCGGCTAATTTTTTTTTTTTTTAACTGTAGAGATGAGGTCTCGCCAAGTTGCCGGGGTGGCTCTTGAACCCGCAGGCTCAGGCAATCCACTCATCTTGGTCTTCCAAAGTGCTGGGATGACAGGCTGAGGCACCAAGTCTGGCCATTTTTAAAATGTAGCCTTTATGTAGGGTTTGAAGTGTTCAAGTGATTTGCCCAAGTCATACAGCTAGTAAGTGGCAGAATTAGGGTTCGAACTCAGGCTGCCTTACTCCACAGTGTGGTTGCTGAGTCTCTGCTTTTTTCTTACCCAGTGTTGAGGAAGAAGTCCTTCATAAACATCATTTTCCTGGCTGCATATTATTACACTATTCGCTATTTAAGTGGCTTTCTGTCTTTAGCAACTACAAATAATCCGGACAAAGTCTACTGCACACATTTCCCATTACTCCTTTGGATAGATTCCTAGAAGTAGATCACTGGGCCAAAGGACATGAATGTTTTAAGACTCCTAATATGTATGAGAAGCCACTTCTCAAAAGGGCTGTCCAATTTATGATTCCATTCATCAGAGGCAACTTTGCCATTGTCAAAGCAGGTGGCCCTTAGGAATTTAGATAGGCCAGGTTTCACACGACCAAGCCATTTCGCATGAGCATCCCCTAGCCTCTTGGAAGATGAAAACACACATCGCATCCTGCCTTATACACACAGGAATGATTATAAATATAAAACGATACCTATTTTTCTGTGAGCAACTGCTGCAAAATTCTCTGACTAAAAGTCACATATTAACTTTGAACAAATCAAACGATCGTGTAAATGACATAAATGTATATGCCATCCCATTCGTCATGCAAGTAATGGTAACAACCCTTGTTCCTATGAATGTGCATCCCTGTCACAACCAAATCCAGCAAGTTCAACCAATCAGTTAGAGTTTCTTCACACATTGGCTAGATTCATGGAGTAATTTGTTTACACCAAATATCAGCATTCCACAACCAAACACCTGTGCAGTGGGAGTTGCTGTCACTTTATAAGTAACAAAGTGTATCTGACCAAAACAAACAAATAAATAAATAAAATCAAGTTTAGTAACTACTAATAAAACAATTAAAAAATGATGGCCACTTATGGACCTAATCCTGAATTGTACCCTACATCTTTCTTTAAAATAAGATAAATTGAAATTAATGAATTAGCTTAATTTAATTTTTAAACACAATTAAAAAATAAGATTATATATATCATCAAAATAATGTCCTCTGGTGGAATAAAATGTGACTGGCAAAAAAGAGATTGAATTAGGCAATACAAAAAACACACACACACACACACATACACACACACACAAAGGGGCAATTTAGAAGAAAACAACTTGACTCTAGCTGTGAGTTTTTCCTAGAGCTGTGATGGTCTAGCAGTGAGTTTTGGCGCTCCGGAATATAATCTGTTGTAAATGGAATAAATATCAATTGAACCCCCACTCAGATCTACTCATACAATGTCCTTCAGGCAAGCCCAATCCTATAGGGCTCTAGCCATACCCATAGCACCTGTGCTCAGACTTAGCTTACTGTGGTGAAACCACACCCCTTATTTGCGTATCCCCCACTGAACTGTGAGCTCCCTGAAGGCAGAGACTCTGCCTAATTCTTCCCTATATCACCAGCACTTGAGATAGTACAAATACGTAGTCAACAATTTAATATGATTCATGAACAAATCAAAGAATTTTCTAGGTCCTGTACCAGCTGCTTTATGTGTATTTTTTCCATGCATCTTTATTTTACTCAGGTTGGTCAGTCTCAGAAATGTACCCAAGTGTCTAGAGCTGTGCTATTTGTTTTCATATGTGACTATTTCTGTGTTCATTTAATTCATTAAAATTAAATGATATTTAAGATGCAGTTCTTCAGTCGCACTAGTCACATATCTAGTGCTTAAAAATGCTGCATGCGGCTCTGGCTATCATATTGGGGATTGCACATATAAAACGTTTCCATCACTGCAAAAAGTTCAACTGGAATGTGCTGTTTAGAGTGTAAGCTCCATGCAGGCAAGAGGTGTGTCTATGTCTCATTTTTCACCGTATCCTCTGTACTAGCCTGGCCCAGAGGAGATGAGGGGGCAAAAGAAAAGGAGGGATGGCACTAATAAATGTAGAAATA